GGAACATAAGGTCGGAGAATTGGGGAAGACAGTATTTGGGACAACAGTTCTATCTCAGGGTTTGGACTTCGTCCACTTCTTACCGGGACGAGTATCCCATCCCTAAGAACGCTCTTCTCTGCGGCCGAGCCAGTGGCCGACACACCCGCCCCTTCTAACCCTTCACGCCACGTGTCATTTTTACATGATATTCCATTGTTAGTCGTTACCGTTGATGAGGAAGATGACAACATTTTCTGTAATCTGAGAGAGCTCCTCTCGAGCTTTGTTTCAGTTTGTAATTTTATGAAATGAAATTTCTTGGCTTCTTTAATTTTCTTACAAAGAAATGGAATCTTTAGCGTACAAATACTTACGGCCCATCTCAATTGGGTTTTGGGCCTTTTGTTACGGCCTAATTGGGCCGTTGGCATCGGATACTTAGTCATTCGATTGTTTTCAATATATAACAAAAAAAAATTCAAATTTTTTAATATTCTTTTTTAATATGTTGATTTTTTATTTTTTATTTCCTAATGAGTCAAACGTAATTGTACTCCATACAGAGTAAGTAGTAAACGGACTTTGTATTAATTATATATTAAACAAATTTGAATGGGAATGCAATTAATGACCATGAGACAACCGTAAGAGGAATCTAATTAATTATTATACATGTTTTTAATGTCATTTAAAGAAACATTTTTGACTTTTTACCAAAAAGAATAAACAAATTAATTAATGAACACCGGTCTTGCCCATCTCAAAGCCGCTGAATAATACTCTTTTTTTTCCTAGTGAATTAAAACGTAATCCAAGATATTCAATTGAATTAAAAATAAATTTCGTAACGGAATTAATAATAGGATAAGAAAATTCTTTTATGTACGAATGGTTCAACTGAACTAGGGAACCAAGTGGGGGCCATTAAATAGCTCCAGATTCTGTACATCGTTTATGACGACGATTATATAATTTTTGGCCCTTCACAATATATAAGAAGTATAATAGATATTTAATATCTTAATTTGGAAAAAGTTATATGGATATATATAGCTATTCGGAAAATCATTAAAAAAAATTCAAAGAAACTATCAAGAGATGAACATGGTTTTTTGAATTAATATGTTAAATAGAAAATTATATGCATTATCTGAAAAGTATAATTCTTGTGGTTTTACATAGAAACTAGGAATTAGGTATTCGTTTTTAGATAGTAATATATAAATTCCACTTTTTATTTATTTAATTTTCAAATTCATTTGTAACCTATACAGCAACGGGGAATTTTATTTTGACCAACAAAAAGCAGACGCATACATATGTTACCCTAAGTGACGTCCTCTATAACGTGTCTCTGCATGAGGATTCTACGACATGCAAACTGCACGGATTTGTCGGCGCATGCAAATTAATTTCTCCCGACTTTTAAATCTATATAAATATATAGAGAGAGGTTGATTAAATATATAGAATTAGTTTTGTTAAAAAATAAATGTAAATCGTCAATTTTATATGAATTAATTTAAATAATTTAAATACATTTCAGTGATATTAATATGCATAAATCCATATTATTAATTATATTTCATCAAAGAAATATTATTAATTATATATAAATAATATTCTTTTTTTTTGTCAAAGGTTGGTATTTCATTTATTATCGAAATTATACATATCGCTTTATATTTGTTAATAATCTATATCCGTATAACCGAATAAAATTTATACTTTTTTTTATTGGGATATCAGAAAATTCTCGCTTTTGTCGTATTCAAACAAATGAAATTTTCGTAATATACTTTAATCTACAAATTTACGGGGGTTGTTATGTGCGCGGACCAATTAAAAGGAAACGTGGACCGAGATTAAGAATTCGAGGAATTATGCTCATTTTAATAACATTTTAGTATGTTCCTCGAGGAGCATGCAATGCGTAGGTAGGTCATATACGTAACGTTCGTCCAAACTCTTCAAATAGTTGGTTACGTTTGTCAATAAATTATTAAAAAAAAATGAATTGTATTCGAATATCAAATGTCCATTTTTTTTCCTATGAAATTTAAAAATGCGATAAATTTAGAAATAAATACGAGTTTTTTTTAATATCCATGTCTCGAGACTATTGGAAACGTATTACATATGAGTTCATCTTATTTTGAATTATTTTTAATTCGCATATTTCTGTAGAATATTTTTTTAAAATTCCAATATTTATCAGTAGAATATTTTAGTCTATTTTTTGACAGTAACATTAAAACTCTATTAAATTCCTTGTTAGTCACCAGTATACTCAATTAACTACAAATTGGGCATTTATAAGCCGGCGACTAAACGGTGTTAATATTAAGTTTAACAAAAAAAATTAAATTAGCAAATACTAATCATCAATGTTAATATTTTTGTTTCTAATCATTGATTCGGCGTTATTACAGATATACCTTTAAAGTGTAACATCAGTTGCAACACATACCTTCGAAAAATTAGGGTTTCTAAAAAAAAATTGGAAAACATTGAAAAGACCATCTTAGCCTTAAAAAAAGTACACGTGTAAAAATCTGAATAAAGATTGCGAAAAAAAAAGAAAGAGTGGGGAGTTGGAGTCCGAAATCAAAAATTGTTTTAAGTAAAAAAAAAACTTGTCAGTTTCTTCGTTCTTCCTTCTTCGCGATTTCTCTCTAACGGGCATTCTGCAAGCGATTTCTTGTGCGATTTGTTCTCTTCACTTCGAAATGGCTTCGTCTTCATCGTTTTCGGCATCTATCTGCGAAAATCTTCAGGTAAGGTTTCCATTATAACTCACCGAGAAAGTGAGGTTTTTTTTAATTTCATATGTGTACATTTGGGTAAATATTAAAGGTAGACAAAATCGTAGTCAAATGGGTCATAGTATTCGAGTTTTACAGATCAAACTCGTCAAACTGGTCACACCGTTCAAATGCGACCAGTGTGACTAGTATGACCACTTCACATCGTCTCACTAGTATGACAAGTTTGATCAGATTAGTCAAACTCATCATACCCTTCAAGTGCGACCAGTGTGACGAGTATGACCACTATAGTAGTGACCGGTGTGACGGTGTGACGACTTCAACGGTATTTCACTGAGGGGTATACCCAGTTTAATCGGACTAGTCAAACTCGTCTCACCCTTCAAGTACGAAGAGTGTGACGAGTATGACCTCTACGATAGTGACCGAGACAAAACTCTCATATGACTCTAATTTCAAACCAAAACCCTAAATTTTCTTATCTGTAAAACTCGAATACTATGACCCATTTGACTACGATTTTGTCTACCTTTAATATTTACCCAAATGTACACATATGAAATTAAAAAAAACCTCACTTTCTCGGTGAGTTATAATGGAAACCTTACCTGAAGATTTTCGCAGATAGATGCCGAAAACGATGAAGACGAAGCCATTTCGAAGTGAAGAGAACAAATCGCACAAGAAATCGCTTGCAGAATGCCCGTTAGAGAGAAATCGCGAAGAAGGAAGAACGAAGAAACTGACAAGTTTTTTTTTTACTTAAAACAATTTTTGATTTCGGACTCCAACTCCCCACTCTTTCTTTTTTTTTTCGCAATCTTTATTCAGATTTTTACACGTGTACTTTTTTTAAGGCTAAGATGGTCTTTTCAATGTTTTTCAATTTTTTTTGGAAACCCTAATTTTTCGAGGGTATGTGTTGCAACTGATGTTACACTTTAAAGGTATATCTGTAATAACGCCGGTTTATCGTCTTCTTCTCTCTCTGTTCCTCAGCTACTAGTCAATCTGCTTTTCGTAAAATTCTTTTCCCCTTTTCGCCACCCACCTTTTCTGATGGGTACCCCTCCCGAAATATTAAGATCAAATTTAAAACTTCATTACCCGATAAAATCTCTAATCATTAAACCCCAAAACACCGCACAACCTTTCTTCTTCTTCTCTCCTCCCATATACCGATCACCGGCGGCTACCGGCAACGGCAACGTTCTGATCCAACGGTCCAGATTCCGCGGAATCAGCACTCCCGAGGGAAAAAAGGGAGATTTTGTTTGATCTGATGACACTAATTGCACGGGTTCGTCTGATTTGCTGACTTGGAGCCATAAATAAACGTTTTTCTTGATCCGGATCTTTTTATTTTTTTGGGTTGAATGTTGAGACGCTACGATCTCGCCACGTGTCACAACACATGACTCTGTCCGTTGGATCACGACAACGAGGGCGATGCTCCCTTCATGCGTTGCCCATCAAGACCATCATTGACTTTGTAACATATTTTCTATTAGTTTCAAAGGCAACATTATTTCGCCAGCTTATAAATTCGATCATCTATGGCCCAAACATAAGTCTCAACCAGTATCCAATAATCATTAATTCAAATTGATAATAATTTGCCCTTCTTTTCATCAACTATATCAATATTGCATGTATATGTGCTGACGTGGACCGATTAAAACGGATATTATTCAAAATCTAAAATAACAAATATGTTATGGACCTCAACGGCCCAATTATTGATTCGGAGTATTTGTTTATTTATTATTATAGGTTTCTTTCTCTTACTCGTCCAAGCCCGGCCCATTAGATTATTCATGCATTGCGGATTACCCTTTGTCCAACGCTTGCCGGTGATTATTTTATTTCCCCGAGTTCTTTACATAAAAACACGCACTTATAAATAACTCATTTTAATATCGGTGGGAACCCATGTTCATATAAATATAGTTCTCTCTCAATATTTTTTGGTATTCACGTTTTTATATGATGATTACGCGTTCGAATAAATTTTATTATATGATTATTATATCCAAAGAGAATATAATTTTTCACCTACTAATATATTATATATATATACACACGCGATGTTAATCAATGCCGTTTCTCTTTGCTCGCCTGCCTGTAAAAACACACTTTCACGGCACGGGGCAAATAAAAAAATGAAAGAAAAATTTTACCAACAAAAATAAATAAATAAAGAAGCAAATATAATGCGTAATTAATTAACGGGACTTTATATATTGAAAAAAAAACATTTTATTAGTTTCTTTCCAGATTTGGAAGAAAACGCGCTCTTACAGATTTCGGGAATCTTCGTCTCCGATCGGTGGTTTTTCAATTCGAAATTTCTGGTTTCGGTTTCGGTGCCAATGAAGGATGGCGATGCTATACCCATAAGCACAGCCGCGACGACGGCGAACGCGAAGAAGGACGCCGGAGATTCGGCGTTGTTCGGGAAAGGCCGGTACAAGTTTTGGGCCTTGGCCGCGATTCTGCTGCTCGCCTTCTGGTCAATGTTCACCGGCACCGTGACACTCCGGTGGTCCGCTGGGAACCTCAATCGCTTCACCGACGATCTCGACTCTCCGATCCATGAGGATCTCGATGTTCTGGTGAGTTTCTGTTTTTCCGCCTCCGTGATTTCGTTTTCATTGTTAGTTTATGGCTCAGTGGACTGGGGTTTGGATTTGGGAGTAGGAAATGGAGGAGAGGGAGAAGGTGGTGAAGCACATGTGGGATGTGTACAATAATGGCCGAAGGATTAGATTGCCGAGGTTTTGGCAGGAGGCCTTTGAGGCTGCTTATGAAGAGCTCACGAGTGATGTCCCTGGTGTCAAAGAGGCCGCCATCGCGGAGATCGCCAGGATGTCCATTCGCTCCGTTGTCATAGATCCGCCTCCGGTTCATTCTACGGTGATGATTTACTATTGAATTTGATTTTCCAGTTGTGTTTTTTTGCTCTGCTCTTATATGTCATTGCTTTGGCTGCCCTTTGAGCGCATTAGATGTCTGCTAGATGCTTAGAATTGGACATGACTCCCTTCGTGTTTGCTTGGATTGTACATTGGATCACAGTTTTTCCTTCAGCTTGAATGGGAAGATAAAACTGAAGACGGTATCCCAATCAAAGCTTAGGATACTCCTTAGATATTGCCAATAGGATTTGGTTGATGGGTTTGATATGCTACCTCTTCATCAAGAGCACATTTTGGATATCTGTATTCTCTTTGCAGACCAGTTTACCTTAGCTTGAAGAAAGCTTATTCTTGGTATCAATCTGTGATCAAGTCCCTAGTAGAAATTTAGGGCGTGTCAATCTGCCTTGATCTGCTAACACTACAGGCTTTTGTGCTCTGCTGTTCTTTTCAGTATTAAGATCTTAGATACCCAAATGCTTTGATTTTCTACATCATGTATCCACATCCAGGTTTTGAGTTGCTAAACTTAATCTTATCACACTATCGTTTGTTAAAGAGCCCGGGCTCTGTTCCTATTTCTGCTTCTGGAACCGGTCAATTGGTTTGATAATATTTACTGAGATTTGTCCTTGGACCTAATGGCCATTGACTAGGGAAGGCAACCTTGTCATGAATGACTCTTTCATTCATCTTTCAGCATTTTTAGTTCCTTTGGCCAGTAGGTTAACATTCATGTGCTAGTTCTTAACTGTGATGCTGTTCTGTAAGACTGTGGACATTTCGCTGTCGGATGCACAATATCTAGACAATTGGTCTGGATTTTGGCCATGAATGTAGTTAGCTTGAGTGTACACAGGTAGTGAAGTCTTATGGTGAACCTAAAACCCAAGTTAGAGACTTTGTTGATGAAGGTTACTATATATATATATATATTTAAGTTAAGATAGTTTCCAGAGCAAGTTCTTAGATTTCAGAAACTCTAAATAGTTTCCTAATGATAAATACGGCCATAATAAGCAACGTACTGGTTTAGGGGTGGAAATCAAGTGTGGACCCTACGATTTCTAGATGGAGTAAACCTTTTGAGTTTTGATGCTGAATACTTGCATTGCAGTTGACATGTACGATAACATTGTCCGTGTCGGTTTCTTTGTCATTTGGTTGCAGAATGTACGAGAATTGGCGAAGACTCTGAGACTTGCGGACAAAGGCAGAACGGTCCAAAGCTTTAAACCAAGCAGCCGCCGCCTCAAAATCTTTTGATCCCCATTTTCTTTGCCCGAGTTTGTCGAAGGTAGCATTTCCTCCGAGGGAAAACGTACTTACACTCTATGTCAAGAGATCAATCAACGCTTTATAAAAATGTCCATGATTAGTGTTGTTTTTTTCTCCCACTAGGGGCCTTATAGATCATCTTTCTAGGAACCTGGAAGACAAAAAATGTCCATGGTTACTTTCATTTTTTTTTTCCTTCTTGTTTTCATATTCTTTTTTTCTATATGAATGACTAAAAAAGGCAGAGTGAGTGATCGTGGTTTAAGTTCCTTGCTTGTGATATGGTTATGGTTACATTGTCAGATCTTTGTTCACTGTGGAATTGCGTCCAAAGGGGTAGTGTTTCTTCTATAACCTTGTTACCTGCGAAAGGTTTCTTGTAAGAAGCGCATATGCGGACAGATCTTGATAGAGATAATCATTTTGGATTCCATCCGATTATAATAAAAAACTATTATCATTCGGTTTTTTTATATCAAAATCCATTTATTTTGGATTTGGGTTCGATTTTTATTGGCGAAAATATTCATTCATTTAATTTTTTATAGAAATTTTCATTTTTTTATTAAGATTCCATTTGGTTACACATGTCGTCATGTGATTGGTAAGGGAATTATCACGTATAATGTAGCTCATCGAAAAGCTCGACTGGTCCGTGATCCAACGGTTGTGAGTGGAAGTCACATCCCCACGAGAAATTCTATTTCCACTCTCTCTAACTTCCAACTAAACAAGCTTTATTAAGATTCCATTCGGTTACACATGTCGTCATGTGATTGGTAAGGGAATTATCACGTATAATGTAGCTCATCGAAAAGTTCGACTGGTCCGTGATCCAACGGTTGTGAGTGGAAGTCACATCCCCACGAGAAATTCTATTTCCACTCTCTCTAACTTCCAACTAAACAAGCTTTTGTGGCTGGTGGCGCTTGAAAGCCCAATCTTCTCTCCCTCTCTTTCTCTCTCCACAAGATGCTGGTGCTCTCGCCTATCTACGCCGCACCACCGCCACCGTCGTACCGACCAAGACCGACCCGACGGTCCATGAACCCGTCGGGTCGGGTCCTGGCCATGGCGAACGACGCCAGCGACAGCGGTGGGCCACTGGAGAAAGCGGCAATCGCGGGAGGATTGGTGTCGTCACCGGTCATCGGGTGGTCTCTCTACACTCTGAAGACCACTGGGTGCGGCCTGCCTCCGGGACCCGGCGGCTCGATCGGTGCGCTCGAAGGCGTGAGCTACCTGGTAGTGGCGGGAATAGTGGGGTGGTCACTGTACACGAAGGTGAGAACCGGGTCGGGTCTGCCCAACGGGCCATTCGGGTTACTGGGTGCGGTGGAGGGCTTGTCGTATCTGTCGCTGCTCGCGATTCTTGTGGTGTTCGGCCTGCAGTTCCTGCAGAATGGGTCACTCCCTGGTCCTCTTCCTAGTGACCAGTGTTTCGGATAACCCTCCCGTAATAACATTACATTCAAATGTATCTATTCACATCGAAATTTTTTCTATGCTCTTACTTTTTAAACTATATTTCGAATATAGTAGAAGTTTTATGTAAAACCATAAACTAGTGTCAACTCTGGATTTGCATATGATTTAATGCATGTAAAATCAGAAAATAAAAACTATTATTTGCACAAAAAGAACTGGTTCCACAAAAAAAATAGACGACAATTAAGTTGAGCTTTAAAAAAAACCATAAACGTTTTTTGTTGGAACAAAATTTTGCCCTTTATTTATTTATTTTGGATCGTCGGTTCGACAAAAGGCCTATTACGAGTAACCACGGACTCTTGGATATAGGCCCACTTATCGTCTTGCATGGAAACTAGTGTCAACTCTGGATTTGCATATGATTTAATGCATGTAAAATCAGAAAAAAAAAACTAAAATAAAAACTATTATTTGCACAAAAAGAACTGGTTCCACAAAAAAGGCCTATTACGAGTAACCACGGACTCTTGGATATAGGCCCACTTATCGTCTTGCATGGGCTTTGGGTTTCTCCTGACCCCAACGACGTCGTTTCAGCCTTGTCCTGCGTTTAAGAATCCGGATCCATTTGGGTTTCATATTTTTGTCATATCGATCGTCCAAACAGCCTCATTTCCTATCCCGCCGGAAAACCCTAGCTGAGCTCTGATCTCTCTCTTCACCATGGGAGACTTCAACGATCCCTTCATGCGCAACCAGAACTCCGCCGTGCAGGCGCGCACCAAGGCCCAGAATCGGGTCAATGTTCTTCAGCTCAAACTGGTACGCCTCTTATCGGCGTTTCGCTGCTTCGTCAATCTCCCTCTCTAGGTTTTAGCTTCCTTTTCCTTGAGAGGTTATCTTTATCAATGGGTTCTAGCGTATGTTCTCAGGTTTAGATTCGAGATGCTTCCATTCTATGATATGTCGGTCGGTGCTATATGGGTTGTTGTACTTCCGTATGAATCTGCCGACTGTTTAGTCAATTTGTTCGCGGCTTAATAGGCCAATATTCAATTCATGTGTGTCATTCTGATCTGTATGTAGAATTTTCTTTGATTTTATTCTCGAGATTGGTTCTGATATTCGATTGCATAATACCTAGTCCGTTATTTGATTATGGATTAACTAGAACCTGGAATCAGTCGGTGGCTCGATTGAGCATGGATGGTATCAATATGTCTTGAGTAGGATTTTGATATTTTAGGGATGTTAATATCTGATTTGCTAATTCCGCAGATGGGTCAAAGCCATCCAACTGGCTTGACACCGAACCTCCTGAAGCTTTTTGAGCCACGGCCGCCATTGGAGTACAAGCCACCTCCTGAGAAAAGGAGATGCCCGCCTTATACAGGTAAAAACTTATCCTATGATTTGGTTTAAATATATTCTTTTGGACTTTGGAAGTGATCTATTTTTTTCTGTATTCGTTTTAGGTATGGCTCAGTTTGTGAGTCACTTTGCTGAGCCTGGAGATCCAGAGTATGCTCCACCTCAGCCAGAAGTTGAGACACCTGTATGTTATACCTGAATCAGTTTCTTCACGGTTAACTTTATTTATACTTGATTGTAATCAGTGGAAAATTTTCATCGATCTTATGTTCTAATATTCCATTTCATGTGCACAGGTGGAAAGGAGGGCAAGAATTCATAAACTCCGACTGGAGAAAGGAGCTGAAAAGGCTGCAGAAGAGCTAAATAATTGTAATGCCCCCTTTCTTCGAGTCATGATTCCTTGTGTGCCTTTCATGTCAAGTTGAACAAAAACTGTTTTTTGCAGATGATCCAAATAATGATCCTAATGTTTCTGGAGATCCGTACAAGACATTGTTTGTTTCAAGATTGGTAAGTTGAAAAACTTTGTGTGGAAATTCTTTCTCGGACTAGTGAGTGTTTTGGGGCTTGATTTATTGTTCATGTTATTGCAGAGCTACGAGACCTCTGAGAGTAAGATTAAAAGGGAGTTCGAATCTTATGGACCAATTAAACGGGTAGGTATTCCTGCATCCCCAAGTGGGTTCGGTAAGAAGTTATGTGATGGCTTCTCCCTCTCAAGTTCTTTGCATGAGATGCTTGATTTTGTGCATGAAAGCCTTTAAGGTTCAGAATTGTTATTGCAAAAGAGTTATCAAGTTTTGCTTTTAGCTAACAATTTGTTTTCTAGACCCAAAAAAAAGTTAGCTAGTGTTAGTTTGTGCCATCTTTTAACTACAAAAATCCTGCAAGTCTGCTTTGCATCACTAACTAGTTAAAACTTAGCGATCAGTACTGTTACTGGTTGCATTCAATTTTCATTGTTCCGGACTGGTCAATCTCTTGTAAAGAATGTGTCCAACCTCTCTTCTCCATGGTGATTGTTTGAGCTTTGTGGATGCAAAGTTGGAACTTTAGGAACAGGTATAGATCAGGTATTGTTGGTTTTTTGTTGGCCCTTTAAAAGGATATTATATTTATTCTTCTACTATTTCTAGAGGGTTTAGCTGCACGGGTATCATAATATCTGAGGTATATTTTGAACCATGATACCCTCAATAGAGAGATCCCTGGTAAGCGATTAAGAAATGTTATCAGCCATTTTTATGAGCTATTTTATTCCAAATGGTCCATTCTGCACGAAGAGCTGAAAAGTCTAGGTTGGGCAGAGTATATACTCTCTTTAACTTCAAGCAACAAAGGAGATGGGAGTAATGTTCTTTATCCATTGTTGGTAATTAAACACCGGGAGTACCAGTGACCCTTCCTCTCTCTCATTTTTGTATTTTAAACGCACGGATTTCTTCTACTAAAACTTCTGTCTTTTGGCATTTAAGGCTATCAAAAGAATTATCAGCTACTGTGAGGATGTTCTGGTAACTTTTAAACATCCGTAACAATCTGATTTTTTTTTTAAAGTTTATAAACCCTGGTAAGGGGTAGTTAGTCTCGTTGGAAATGGTAAATTTGCTGCAATGCATCCATTTTTCTGCCAATTCTTGATGTGGTGGTGATGCGTCTCGGATTTGGAAGCCTGTTAAGAAAAAGGTTGCCATTAGGAGTAAACTATTTCTTCCTTTTCGTCTATAGAATCACTTGTTTGTTTGGTATGGAAACTCTCTTTCTTAAAACTGTTCAGTTTGTCGGAGATTTATGATTTATTAATATCTTTTTTTCTGAGCTTCTCAGGTTCAACTGGTGACAGATAAGCTGACCAATAAACCCAAAGGCTATGCCTTCATTGAGTACATGCATAGCCGTGACATGAAAGGTCCCCTCGAGTTCCTTCTTTTTTTCAATCCTTTGTCCGAGACATCACTCTCTCACTGGCTGATGTGTATTTCCTGTGTAATCTACAGCTGCATATAAGCAAGCTGATGGAAGAAAGATTGATGGTAGAAGAGTGCTGGTTGATGTTGAGAGAGGTAGAACAGTACCAAACTGGCGTCCACGCAGACTTGGTGGTGGACTTGGTACGACCAGGGTTGGTGGTGAGGACATCGTTAGGGAGCAACAGCCAGCAAGAACATCCGTCTCTGAGGAACCCAGATCTCGAGATGACCGGTATGAAGTTCGTAGACCACAAAACTTATGAAAGTTCTCATCTCTCTCGCCCTTTTTTGGCCATTTAAGATTAGGGTTTTTTTTGCTTGTGCAGTGAAAAATCACATGACCGGGGTAGAGAAAGGGAAAGACGAGGGAGAGTAACAGAGAGGATAAGCATCACAGAGATAGGGACCGAGGTAGAGACAGGGATCGGGAGAGAGACAGGCGGGATCGTGACCGTGACAGAGACCGTCGTGACCGTGACCGTGACAGAGGTCGTGACCGCACTCGGGATCATGATCGTGACCGTGATCGCAGTCGGAGGAGGGAGCGAGACTACGAGGGTGGTGAATACGACACAGACCGTGGGAAGTCCCGTGACAGAGATGCTGAGTATGAGCGTGATGGGTCCAAGCACCATGACCGTGATCGGCATGGCGAGAGGGAGTATGAACATGGCGAGCCAGAGGAAGGTCATGGGTACTATGAGGGGCGTAGGCATTCGGACCACTACGAACATTATGAGCGTGACTATGAGCAGGAGCAAGGGGATCAAGACCGTTACAACCAGTATGCTGACCGTGACAATGACCGTTATGATCGGATGGAAGAGGATGATTACCGATATGAGCGTGGGACTTCAGATCGCGAGTACAGGCGGTCGGAGTCGCGCGAGTATGATCACTGAGAACCTTTGTCTCAACGCTGTTCTGGTCTTTGTCCGACATCTGAAGTGTCGTCTTGGTTTATTTGCTTTCATAATATTTGTCTTTCTTTTGTTTGTTTATTGTGCGAGCGTCAAGGATCTGTATCTTGTTTTCGTCTGGAACTCCGAACCTGGGACCGCTTTTTTCCCCGTGAAACTAAAATTGCAAGTTCTTGTTTTTTCGACTTTTTTGTTCCTAAGATTTTTAAAAATTTCTCGGGAAAAGGTTCGAAAAAATGTTTGCGACAAAGATGGCTGCGACGGAGGACAGGAGGTAAAGTTAAAAATTAGGGTTAAAAAATTGATTTAGAAATAATTTTCTAATTGAGAAATGTATTTATCAAATTTTTAATTGAAGATTTTTTTCTATTAGTTCTTAAGGAATTGGGAATTTTTTTATGGAATTTCCCACTAATATTTTGATTAGTGATTGCAGGTTTATGATCCAAGTCGAAACAAACAAAAACCCAGCTTTGAAATCTCGCGATGAGAGGGGCGGGGGGTATTCGATTCTCGTGCCATTGCCGGTTGAAAGAACAAAATTTCCGTTGCCGGGAATCGAACCCGGGTCTCCTGGGTGAAAGCCAGATATCCTAACCGCTGGACGACAACGGAATGATGGCTGTTTATTAAATTATTGGAATGAATTGATTGCCCAGTTCGGTTTATTAAAAAAAATATAGTCCCGTGTTTCTCTTAAATTCCTGGTTCCCGAATATAATTACTTCTCTTTATCAAATTCTCCAATGTCTCTGTGGTACTCTTCGAGATACGCGTCCACTCTATCTGCCAAACGACTCTTACAAAATTAGACCTATAATAATTAATAATTTATTTTCTTTTTCTGTATTACGCGACGGCTCTTCTTCTTTAAATGGCCACCCAATGGGAAGTCTGAGGTTTAGTTGGGAAAACAGTAATTATCCAGGGAAACTGGGGGTATTATCGGTAGTTCTGATAGTAACGAGACCTCCGAACCTAGTGTCGTGATCCCCCCCCCAGGCGCGTGCCATTTCTCCCCCTTTGTGCACATTTCCTCAGTTTGGTCTCGTGGGAAAACTCTCCAGCGAAATCTATTCGTTTTCTCGAATTCTTTCCGGCGGTTAATCGGTAGCAGATCGGATAAGAATCAGACAAGGAAGAAGAAGATGTGGCGCTGCGTTTCTCGTGGCCTTCGTGTTGCTTCTTCTTCGAGGACATCGCTCTTCGATGGCCACTCTGGATCTCGGTTTTCCAGATTCTTCTCCACTGGTTCGGTATGAACTCTCTTCGTTTCCCTCTCTCTTTTTTATGATTTTCGAATTCGATCGTGTCTGAATCGAGTCTCGAGGCTCTAGCATCCGAGGATGTAGAACTGGGAGATGGAGAGGTGACCGAACTCTGGTTTATTCATAATTGTTAGCTCTGTCGGAAAATTTTTCTGTGTTTACATGTTTGGGGATCGAGAAAATGGTGGAAATGGAGTGATTAAGAGCTACAATTTTGTGTATCATTGAAGCTTTGCTTTCCTTTTGACCGTATCTCGTAATTATTTGGCAGACCGGTGGGAGATCCTCTTACACGATTGTGGATCATACATATGATGCGGTCGTGGTCGGAGCTGGTGGTGCTGGACTTAGGGCGGCGATTGGATTGTCGGAGCATGGGTTTAATACCGCTTGCATTACCAAGCTGTTTCCAACCCGTTCACACACCGTCGCTGCTCAGGTATCTGGAAATGAACCCATGTTCTTCATCGTGCTTTGAGATTGATGTATCCCACAAGAAAGAGAACGATGCGTATAATTAGTTACTTCGTGTTTCTGATCATCAAGTAAAAAACATTGTGAAGGGTGGTATAAATGCTGCGTTGGCAAATATGACAGAAGATGACTGGCGGTGGCACATGTACGACACTGTGAAAGGAAGTGACTGGCTAGGTACGCTTGTTCTTAGTGGGGAGGTCTTGTCCTTTTCATCAATTTGGTTGGTTGATTGAAGTACCTATGTGACTCAGTTGTCTTTTGGGGGTTCCGATAGTTAGACGAGAAATTAGAGGCCTTTCTTTTTATCCTTTATTTTATTGTCATATTATAACACTGAATGTGTATAGGTGACCAAGATGCCATCCAGTATATGTGCAGAGAGGCACCAAAAGCAGTTATTGAACTTGAGAATTATGGGCTGCCATTCTCTAGAACTGAAGATGGTAAAATTTATCAGCGTGCATTTGGCGGTCAGAGTCTTGACTTTGGAAAAGGTGAGTTTTCAGGACATACTAGGATTTAGATTATTGTTCGCTTATACAAGTTTGTTTGGTTGATTTCTCATATTGGCTTGGCTTCATTCTAATATGTCAGGTGGTCAGGCTTATCGTTGCGCATGTGCTGCGGATAGGACTGGGCATGCTCTTTTGCATACTCTCTATGGCCAAGCTATGAAGCATAACACACAGTTCTTTGTTGAATACTTTGCTTTGGATTTACTTATGAACAGTGATGGTAAGTTGGGGGCATTGTTACTTCTGTTAACATTTTGTAATAGGGAACTGCCACAATGTTACAGACTTTTTAAGGTGTTTTGATGGCTCTCAACAATCAGTTTCTGATCCCGGCGGGCAAGCGACTTTGAAATTTAATACACCGTTGTCTCTAATGTACAGGCAGTTGCCAGGGTGTAATCGCACTGAACATGGAAGATGGAACATTGCATCGGTTCCGAGCTGCACAAACAATTTTGGCCACTGGGGTACAGTATTTTTAAAGTAATGTTACTTCATCCTAAATTTTGAACAGTGCATATATATTTACTGATGTCCTCTGTAGGGCTATGGTAGAACATACTTTTCTGCAACCTCGGCACACACATGCACAGGAGACGGCAATGCTATGGTTGCACGTGCTGGACTTCCCCTCCAGGTTTCGCATCTATTTCAGCTCTTCAGTTTGTATTCTTCTAACATTTGTCTACTAACAACATTATCAAACAACTTTATGCAGGATTTGGAGTTTGTTCAATTCCATCCAACGGGTATATATGGAGCTGGATGTCTCATCACTGAAGGTAGGCGTTTATTCCCTGAGACTTGAACCTGCTTACAGATAAAGGATTAAGTTTGTAATTTCCGATGCTGACATATCATGTTCTTTTTCATTTTACCCTCGCAGGGTCTCGAGGTGAAGGTGGTATCCTTAGAAATAGTGAAGGTGAACGTTTTATGGAACGATATGCTCCTACAGCTAAGGATCTTGCATCAAGAGATGTTGTCTCTAGATCTATGACGATGGAAATTAGGGAAGGTCGAGGTGTAGGTATGCTCCCCTATGAATTGGATTCAATCCTCCGAGCTTAACTTTGTCAATTTGTTTCTGCACAAAAAGATATGGAATATAGACAGCAGGTGGTAACCGTGTTCAATGTATACCCCTGCTTCAGTGTCTGATCCATCTAGGTGTAGCGTTATTCTTACCCTTACAGTGACTCATACTGTATGCAACAGGACCTCTGAAGGATCACATCTATCTTCATTTGAATCATCTTCCACCGGAGGTTCTAAAAGAAAGACTTCCCGGTATCTCTGAGACAGCTGCCATCTTTGCTGGTGTTGATGTTACCAAGGAACCAATTCCAGTCTTGCCGACAGTACACTACAACATGGGTGGTATCCCTACGAATCACCATGGTGAGGTGAGAATATGAAAAGGGCTTTCGACAAAGTTTGCTTAAATTGATGTGAACTGTGAATGGTGAAACGGAGAACTATATGAAATGGAGCAAAAGCCTTGAAGGCAAAGTGACATGCCTATATGTTATTTGTTACTGATGCAGGTAGTAACGGTTAAAGGCAATGATCCAGATGCGGTGATTCCTGGGCTAATGGCTGCAGGGGAGGCAGCATGTGCATCTGTTCATGGGGCTAACCGGCTAGGTGCAAATTCACTGCTTGACATTGTTGTCTTTGGCCGCGCGTGTGCTAATAGGGTTGCAGAAATATGCAAGCCAGGTTGGTGTTAGTTAGTATTTTAAGAAATCTTCTGCGATTAAGAAAGAAATATTTTTACATGATGGGCTTATTATTCTGTTCTATTTTTGGGTATACCACCAGGTGGGAAACAGAGACCACTGGAGAAAGACGCGGGAGAGAAAACTATTGAATGGTTGGACAAAATAAGGAACTCGAACGGCTCGCTTCCTACTTCGCAGATCCGGCTGAACATGCAAAGAGTAATGCAGAACAATGCTGCTGTCTTCCGTACCCAAGAGACACTGGAAGAAGGTTGTGACTTGATCGACCGTGCCTGGGATAGCTACGGTGATGTAAAGGTCAAGGATCGGAGTTTGATATGGTAAAAGACTTCTTTTCTATTGAAGATATATATGTATGGAATATTATTCTTAAAAAATATTGATTGGTGTGGCAATTAATTAAACTGCAGGAACTCTGATTTGATAGAGACAGTAGAGTTGGAAAACCTTCTGATAAATGCGTGCATCACCATGCATTCCGCTGAAGCACGAAAAGAAAGCAGAGGAGCCCATGCTCGCGAAGATTTCACGGTTTGTTTCCTTTCCCCCCTCGGCTCCTTTTCGACTGTGGCGTTTGTTTTAGTTCTTCTTTCCTTTCTGAATGGGTTTTTTTTTTCAGAAAAGAGATGATGAGAACTGGATGAAGCATACATTGGGGTAAGTCGCATATATGTAGTGTACATTAATGCACGCCTTTGTTTTGTTTTGGCCATAAATAAATGACTATTATATGGTTGAATATAAGCAGATACTGGGAAGAAGGGAAGGTGCGGCTGGAGTACAGGCCGGTTCACATGAACACTCTTGACGACGAAGTCGAGACCTTCCCTCCCAAGGCTCGGGTCTACTGATATGATGCTGCTCCTTGTCGCCATCACTCCCTTCTCCAATAATATTTCGTGAGGAACCATACAAGTTTTCTTCTTCTTCTTCTTCTTTTTCCTATTCGGGAATAATAAAAGGAAACACGGCCATTGTGTTGTTTATGTGACATTTTGATGGTAATTGCCATCACTTATGCCTCTACTCCGGAGTTTTTTTTTTTTTTTTTTTTTTTTT